TGGGAGAGGTTCAGGAAGAAAACCCTCAGCCAGACTCTTTCCCACCTTGGCCAAAGCTGCAGTGCCACGTCATGCCCGGGGTGAGACCCTCCGGGTCAGACCGACCACCCCCTTTGCCAGCTGGTGTTGGACAAACAGGACTGAAGGAGAAGGACCAGGCAGGGTCTCAGTGCAGGCAAAGCAGACCAAGCTGGTGATCCAGCAGTGCCAGGAAGCTTGGGCAGAACAAGGAGCCCCTCAGGGCTGGGGACCTTCCCCCGGCCTTACTGGGGGTCGCAGCTCTAAAAAAGGAACTTCCCCACTGCGGAATTATAGAGTCACAGAAGGGTTTGGGTTGGAAGGGACTTCAAAGATCACCTAGTTCCAATCCTCTGTCATGGGCAGGGACATCTTCCTCTAGAAGGTGTGGTTCAGCTTGCCTGCTCTCTGTGCTTTTCACTCATGGCAGGAGGTGAAGGAGGAGATGAAGTGTCTTCTGTGCCACACCTTGTAGCCCCAGCACAGCAGAGCAAGGGATCCCTCCCTCCTCCTCCTCCCCAGCTCTGAGCAGCAAACTGTGCCCTGCCCTGCTCCAGGAGCCTCAGCCCATCCCTGGCCCACGGAGATCTCCCACTGGGTGTGTTTGTTGGGCTTGGCTTCAGTCCCCCCCGGCCCCCAGCCCTGAGCTTGCTGCAGGGGCTCTGTGGTGTGGAGGTGAGGGGCCAGGGTGGGGAACAGGGCTGCTGGGGACAGTGAGGGGGACAGAGCCAGGCCAGCGGGACCACCAGCTGCAGCACTCAGGGAGGGCAGAAAGAAAGGGGGGAAATGAATAAACAAGCTTTGGGCAGATTCCTTGTTTCTGTTTCCAATGTCTTCTTTGAAGGACTGAAAGAAGTGTCTGCAGCTTCCTCCTGAGGGGCAGCTCCGATCTCTGCTCTCTGTGACCAGGGACAGCATCCAGGGAACGGCTGGAGCTGTGTCAGGGCAGGCTCAGGTTGGATCTCAGGCAAAGGTTCTTCCCCCAGAGGCTGGTTGGGCACTGCCCAGGCTCCCCAGGGCAGTGGGCACAGCCCCAAGGCTGCCAGAGCTCCAGGAGGGTTTGGACAACGCTCTGAGGGCCAGGGTGGGATTGTTGGGGTGTCTGTGCAGGGCCAGGGGTTGGATGGATGATCCTTGTGGGTCCCTTCCAGCTCAGGATATTTTGTGATTCTGTGACTTTAGGTGAAGGACAGGCAGGTATGGGGAGAGATGGCACATGGGATGTTTGCTGTGCCCCCTCCCTGCCCCAGAGCTGAGCCCAGAGGGTCCCACACTGGAGTGGGAGCTGCTCAAGAGACACAACAAGGTGGGGTTTGGACACTCTTGGGATGCAGGAGGGCCATCCCAAATTCTGGTACCCACAGTCCTCACCAACACCAGCACCTACAACACCCAGCAGATGTTCATCACCCTCCTGCTGCAGCGTTGAAGTCCCTGGTCTGAGCTGGGGTGGAGGTCTGGGAGCATCAAGTATTTAACTTGAAAGGGGCTGAAATGAAAAATAAGCTTTTTTCCCACCACCCATGAAATTCCTAATGCAAACTTCAACTGCAGTAGCAGAAAAGCCTCAATCCCTCCAAACCACAAGAGGAAAAAGAAAATAGCAAATACAGGAACAGAGGCTGGGAAAAGCTGGGGCAGAAAACAAACCAAATGTACAGAAAATGGAAATAAAACCCACCCAGCTTTGTTTGCTACCAAATACACTATTTTTCCAGGATTTTCATTTTCCCCAGAAGAAATCCTCTGCCACTCCATGAGCAGCCCCAGAACCCCGACATGTTCATTCCTGGCACCCCCTTCCCCAAGCCACAGCCACAGCATTCCCACCCCACTGCTCCCTGCCAAAGAGAGACCCTGGAGCTGGGCTCACACCACCTGGTCGGGCATCACCCTCCAGCTTGGCCCCAGAAGGACACCAAGAGGGACAGTAAATTCAGTGCTGGAGAGGGGAGAGCCCTGGGATGCCAATCCCAAGCAGATCCATCATCCCTGGGCAGGGAAGGGGGCACAGGACACCTGCTCCCACTGAACCCCAGATGGAGGGAGCAGGTCCAGCACTGGCTGTGCTGGATGGGAGGGCAGGAGTGGACACACGTGTGGCTGTGCTGGATGTGAGGGCAGGGGTGGATACAAGTGGGGCTGTGCTGGATGTGAGGGCAGGGGTGGACACACGTGTGGCTGTGCTGGATGTGAGGGCAGGGGTGGACATGCCTCTGGCTGTGCCTCGTGGGCTCTGTGTGTTCCTGGTGCCTGCTGGGGGTGTGACACTCCCAACTCAGGACCTGCTGCTCCTGCAGGTTGGATTTTGGGAAGCATTTCTTTGCTAGAAGGGTGGTCAGGCAGTGGCACAGCTGCCCAGGGCAGGGGGGGAGTCACCCCCCTGGGAGGGTTCCAAGAGCAGATGTGGCACTTTGTGCTATGGTTTAGTGACATGGTGGGATTCAGTTGAAGGTTTGACTTGACAGCCTTGGAGGTCTTTTCCAACCTTAATGATTCTGTGGTTCTGTGGGACCGAGACCACTGGGATGGAGAGCAAAAGGGGAGTTGGAGTGGAGGCTCAGGGCTTTAGTACCATCCCCCAGGCCTTTCCAATCCCCTCAGATCCCAAGGACACCTCCAGGCCTGAAGCACCCACATGTGCTCTCCCTGCTCCATCCCACATTCCCTCCCTCCCCACTGCCCTAAAATCTCCTGTTACACCTTTCCTGCCCATTCCTCTGTGCTCCCCAACAGCAGCAGGATGCCCAGGACTGGGACACACATGATCCAGGTCCCACATCTCCTTTGCCCCCCAGGACATCCCTGTGGCTCCTCCCTGCGCCGTGTCCCAGCCGCGGGTTGTAGGGATGTGATTTAAACACACACACTTTGTAATCTGCAGCAGAGCAGGAGTGCTTGGCACAGCTCCCCTGCCCACACTGCCCAGGGTCTCCTGGGCTCAGGGACTCGTGGGCTCAGGCCCAGCTGGGCTTTCCCACCACAGACCAAGGGAGGAAGTTTGTCCTGTGTCTGCTCCATGCTCAGCTGGAGGAGGTTCTGCCCAGAACCCCCTCCCCAAACCTGCTGCCTCTGCCCAGCTCGTGGTGCCCAGCAGGGTTTGGTGCCTCACCCCTCACCTGGAGGGTTGTGCCCTGGTGAGGGGTGGAAGGAGAAGAAGGGGTGCCTTGGGAAAGTGGGAGATTAGGGGCAAACCTTTCCCATTTATTCCTTTCATGGGCAGGAGCGTGGGGAGGCCACTGTGCCAGGCTGGTGCCCAGTGGCTCTGCCAGGACCTCAGTGCTCCCCACTCTCACACTGGGGCTGGCCACGATGGAAGCAGGGAAATGCCACTCTGGTCCCTCTCTGATGCCTTCCCTGTGCTTTGCACGCAGAAAACTGGCATTTCCCAGTGCCACCCCTGCCCAGTGCCCACCCTGAGCCCTTCCCATGCCCAGAGGGCTGTGGCAGGGATTTTGGACACGGGTTTATCAGCTCACCTTCTCCAGAGAGCCCCTCCCTCCCAGCCCAGAGCTGCCCCTCATCTTGGCTCCACAGAGCCCCACAGCACACCCCAGACATAACAATATGGGATCTCCATCCCATTTTCCTGCACTGCAGTGTGTGCAGGGCACAAGAGTTGCCCATTTCCTTATGGGTCATGATGGAGGTGGAGTCCCTTCATCGCAGGGAATGGGGACACAGGAAGCTTAACAGCCTGCTGGGCCACCTGGAATTTAGGGCAGGTGTTTCCTACTTCCCTTTAGTCTCCTTTCATCCCCCCCACTATCTGTTGGCTCCCTCCCCCCACCCCCCTCCACGGGCTGTCTCTGACCCAGCACTGCCCCCTCCCTCCTGTCCCCACAGTCCCCACCATGAGGGTGCTTCTGCCAAAACACACATGACAGCCCTGCAGCCCCCGGGAGCTTTGTAGGTGTGTCCAGGGAGCATTTCCTGGCAGGAGGATGGGAAGAAGCACAGCCAAGAGGCTGGAGAGCCCAATCTGGGGCTGGAGAGACCCTTAGGGGTAGGAAGTCACTGGGGTGTGTCTCCTGACGGGATATCTCATGGAGCTGGGAGAAGGTAGAGTGCACTGGGGGGCAAGGGGGATCCTCTTCTCTTGTGTCTCAATCCTCTTCTCGTCATCTCCCATCCCCTTTCCCTGTTGCTTTTCCCTCAAGCATCTCTCTCCCTCATCCCCTTCCCTCTCGATCATCCCCTTCCCTCTCCATCATCCCCTTCCCTCTCCATAATCTCCTTCCTTTACATTATCCATTTCCCTCTCCATCATCCCCTTCCCTCTTCATCATCCCCTTCCCTCTCCATCATCCCCTTCCCTCTCCATCATCCCATTCTCTCTCCATCATCTTCTTCCTTTCCTATCATTCCATTCCCTCTCTGTCATCCCTTTCCCTATCCATCATTTCTTTCCCACTTCATCATCCCATATCCTCTCCATCATCCCTTTCCCTATCCATCATGTCCTCCCCTCTCCATCATCTCATTCCCTCTCCATCATCATTTTCCCTCTCCATCATCCCATTCTCTCTTTATCATTCCATTCCCTCTCTATCATCCCTTTCCCTCTCCATCATCCCTTTCTCTCTTTCCTCTCCCTGGCTGCCTCTTCCCTGCCCGGGCTCACCCCACACTCCTCCTCACGGGATGAAGGCTGGAGCGTGCGCGGGAGCCTCTGTGTGTGCCAGGGACGTGGGAACAGTGGGAACAGTGGGAACAGTGGGAACAGCATCAGAGAGCCGACGCTGGGGGAGTGAGGAAGAGGCAGAGTTTCAAAGCCTGCCCCCCTGTTTGCTCGCAAGGAGTTAAGTCTGTGATCTGTGGCGGGAGCTCTGATGAGAAGCTGGTTGACATGCAGAGCTGGAATAATGAAACGTAATACACATTAATAGGACCTCCCTCTGCGTGATTGCTTCTGCTCCACTGGCCCCATTGAAGATTTCACTTTTCTTTTAACAGTCAGAATAACAGAATGTGACATTAAGTCTTTTACATGCAGCAATTTATTTTAAAATATTGGGGCACTCAAAACAGTATCCAGAATGTTAAATAAGATATGCATGAGATGGAAATCAGAGCAGCACTGCAGTGAGGAGACAGGAGTCAGGCAGAGCCTTTCGCAGGCAAAGGCAGCTCCACTTTTTTTCTTAATTGCTGTTTAAAGCACAAAGAAATCACCAAGTTGGAGAGACCTCTGCAGTACACACCATCTGACCTCTGAGCTCACAGATCCACAGGGGAAATCCAGAGCCAGCACAGAACCCCCTTCCCACACATCCCAAGGTCAAGTGGGTGACACAAGCAACCTTGTGTCTTCCAAGGCTGATGACACAGCACCAGAGGTCAAGAAGTGCTTGGACAATGCTCTCATGCACATGGTGGGATCATAGAATCAGAGAACCATGGAATGCCTTGGGCTGGAAGGGACCTTAAAGCCCTTCTCCTTCTACCTCCTGCCATGGGCAGGGACACCTCCCACTAGCCCAGGTTGCTCCAAGCCCCATCCAACCTGGCCTTGGACACTTCCAGGGCTGGGGCAGCCACAGCTTCTCTGGGCAACCTGTGCCAGGGCCTCCCCACCCTCACAGGGAACAATTTCTTCCCAATATCTAATCTAAACCTACTCTCTGTCATTCCCCCTTGTCCTGTCACTCCAGGCCCTTGTAAATAGTCTCTCTCCATCTTTCTTGTAGCTCCCTTTAGGCACCAAAAGGCTGCAATTAAGTCACCCCAAACCCTTCTCTTCTCTAGGCTGAACAATCCCAGCTCTCCCACCCTTTCCTTACAGCAGAGCTGCTCCAGCCCTCTGATCATCTTGGTGCCTCCTCTGGACTCTCTCCAGCAGCTCCACGTCCTTGTGCTGTTCCCCAGAGCTGGAGGCAGCTCTGCAGGGGGGTCTCCCCTGAGGGGGCAGAGGGGCAGAATCCCCCCCCTGCCCTGCTGCCCACACTGGGGGATCAGCCCAGGGCACGGGAGGTTTCTGAGCCAGGGAATGTCCAACCTCTCATCCACCAGCACTCCCAGGTCCTTCTCAGGGCTGCCCTCCATCAGTTCATCCCCTGAATTCTTGAGGGAATTCTTGGGGTTGTCCTGTCCAAGGCCAGGAGTTGGACTTCAAAGACCCCTGTGTGCCCCTTCCAGCTCAGGAGATTCTGGAATTCCGTGATTCTGTGACCTCGGGAGGTGCCTGTGAGGTGGCAGGTTCACACACCAGCTCCAGTGCCCAGAGAGCCCCTGGAGGGTCCAGTGCTGTCAGGAGCTGGCATTCCAGTTGGGATTGCCATGGGAGAGGATGGATCCCTTTGGAATTGTGAAACATGTGCCTTTTGCTCCACCTTGGGAAGGCAGTGGCTGCTGGAGCACATCCAAGCTCACCCCAGCAGGGGGTTCAGTGTCAGTGATGTGCCAGAGCTTTCTCTACTTTAGGGCCCCCCCTGATCCCACCCCAAGGGTGAAGCTGGCCCAGCCACACCCCTGGAGCAGAGTGACCCGCTCAGGAACGGTGACCCAGGCAGAAAGCTTTGGGGTACCCAGGGTTTGTGCAGGATTTCCTCCCCTGGTGGGTCACACCCAGACCTGGAGCCCTTTGCACTGCTCAGCCCCTGAGCACTCCCAGGGCTGTCCCACACCACTGCTCTGACCCTCTGGCAGGAATGAGGCCAAGAGCCATGGGATACACCTTGAGACACGTGGGGAAGGGATTTCTACATGTGCCATGAGATGTGTGGCCGAGGGGTTTCTGTGGGTGTGATGTCCTGCTGAGGGGGGGTGGGTTCTCAGGTGGAGCCTGGGGATGACCATTATCCCCACAATGGGCCAGGTGGAAGAGAGAGTGACACTGAGGTGTCACAGTTCTGTCCTGCCCTTGCACAAGACCCACAGCCTTCATAATCCCTGTCTTTGTAGCTCCCAACATCCCTCATTTACATATAAAGTGGCTGCTCCCCCCCCATTTATGACAGCAGTAACAGAATGTTTGACTACAGTCTCACCTCTGCTTCTCCCAAAAGTATAAACTGGCATTTGAAATCCTCCTTGGCAGAGGATGAGAACACAACCACCTTACATTCAAGTGCATGGGCTTGCACCTCTCTCCTCCTCTGAGCGTCTCTGGTAAGATTTGTGTCTCTGACTGTGTCAGAGAATCCCTGGTAACACTTGCACATGGTGCTACACATTTTGCAGGTCTAGTGACTGTATCACCAGCAATCTAAAAGAATCTGTAGTCTGTTGCTCCAATAAACTGCATTATTTGTGAATCAGTTGTGAAAGTTCTTATTGAACTCCACCAGACTTACAGTGTTGAATCAGTGACCTCAGTTTTGGTGAATCTGTGACTGCGTGAGACCAGACTGAGCTTGTGACTCACACTCACTGTTGGGGCACCTGGGAACACCACCAGGCTCAACGTGCTGGATTGGTTCCAATCAGAAACGAAGCCCAGCCACACCCAGCCCCTCTGATCCCTGAGGATCACCCATCAAGGGGGTTTATTTTCTGCCAAATTTCTATCCTCGTAGTGCAACACCTCTCCAAGGAGTTTCTCCTGCTTCTCCATGCAGGGGACATTTCCTGTGCCCACTGTCCATCATCCTCTCCCAGGGGCTGTGCTGGGCTGAGCCTGTCACTGAGGTGTCACCTCACCCCGACAGGCAGGAGCTGGGATGGGGACAGTGACTCCTGTCCAGCCCTTGCTCTCAGTCAGTCCTTCCTTCCCCTCCTTGCAGTGCCCAACTGGGCTGGGCTGAGTCCCTCACCAAGGATTCAGCTGCTGCCCTGCCCTGCCTGCTCTTGGAGCCCATTGATTGCCCCACAGCACCTGCCAGAGCATCTCCAGATCCCAGGGGCAGGAGCAGCTCCCAGCAGCCCCCCCAGCATCCCCCGTTCCCAGTGGGGGTACGAAGGCCATGGGAAGGCAGAGTCCCATGGCCCTGGCACATCCTTTAAAGGACACATCCTTCAAAAGCCCTGTTGGCTCCTGACCTTTCAGCCACATTTTCAGCGTTTTCCCTGAGAGTTTTGAGGATCACAGAAAACATTCACCCACCCCCTGCCTCCAGCAGCTGAGGCCAGAGAGGGCCGGGGTGGGGGTGGTGAGGCTGCAGACCCCTCTGTCCCCCTCCCCTCCTCACTGCCCCTGGCCCAGCCATCCCTTCCTGGGGCACAGGAACCCCTCGGGCTGACACTCTGCTGCCCATCCTCACTCAGCCTGGGCAGGACAGCTTTGCCTCAGGCAGCTGAGTGCAGAGACATCAGCCACTGTCCTGGCCAGACACTCACTAAATACACACCTGGGGGGACAGAAATCCCAGGAATGTCATGGGGCAACTGCATCCAGGAACAGGAAGGGAGAGGGAGCACAGGACCTGGGAGATGTCAGCCCTGGGAAGAGGAGGGCTGGGATGCTGATCAGACCCTCTGAGAGCCAGGACTCAACACTCCCAGTGCACTGGGATGTCCATCAGAACCTCCAAGGGCCAGGACTCAGTGCTCCCAGCAAGATGCCCAGGGGCCACAGAGTTGGCTGGATCCAGCTGCTCCTCCTCCCCTCGAGAAGGTCCCCACTCCCCCACCACATCCCCACTGCTGGCAGGGAGGGGCTGTGGGGGGCTGCTCAAGTGCCCTGTGAACTGGGAGGGTTCCTCCCCTCTGTTGTGGGAGAGCTGAGGCTGGAGCATCCCTCCCAGGGGGGTGCTGGGTGATGGATGCCCCCACAGAGGAAGAGCTGGGTTCCTGCAGGTCCCAGTGCTGTGGGAAAGGCTCTGGGCAGCTCCTCCAAAACACAGCACAGCCCAAAGTGACTCCGTGTCCCTCGAAGGGAGGGCAGAACCAGGAACTCAGGGATCTCTGCTTTTTCAAGCTGCACAGATGCAGTAAAATCATTTTATAACAGCTTTGAAGGACAATGGCTTTCAGCTGAAGGAGAGTAGGTTTAGATTGGATATTGGGAAGAAATCATTCCCTGTGAGGGTGGGGAGGCCCTGGCACAGGTTGCCCAGAGAAGCTGTGGCTGCCCCTGGAATCCCTGGAAGTGTCCAAGGCCAGGTTGGATGGGGCTTGGAGCAACCTGGGCTAGTGGGAGGTGTCCCTGCCCATGGCAGGGGGTGGAATAACCCCAACCATTCCATGATTCTATGACCCATGATTTCCACCTCAGTTCTGCACATCCTCTGATCCCCTCTCCACAGGATGCCCCCTGATTTTTGCAAGGATTTCAGGGGAAATCTTGTGCTCTGTTACAGCAGACACCCAATTTCCCCAATGCAACTGCAGCAAAATGACTCCATCCCTAAAGCCACCAGGACTGTGCCTGTCAGCAGCTGGCACTGCCCTGGTGACAGGGGCTGGTGTTGCTGTGGCTGAGTGGCAGGTCCCCCCTGAGCTGCTCCATCTGCCCAGCACAGGGAATCCGGGATGGCAGTGCCTGCTCCCGGGGTGGTGATGGCTCCTTGGCTTCACTTCCAACACGGAAACGTTTCTGTGGGGAACAGTGCCTGCTGATTTCTGGTTTAATCCAGGGGGAAGATCACAGTGACACTGCCCAGTCCCTGCCCTCAGGGACCCAGCCCCCCTCCTGTGCATGCCGAGCCCTCGTTCTGCCAGGCTGGAATTTCCCCAGGAATCTTTTCCTGCCAAACCCCGATGTTTTGCATTAGTCCTCACTTGGACTGAGCTGTGCCTCAAAGCCAGGGCACTCTTCCAGCGAGGGGACTGGTGGTCTGCAGCTGCCTCTTGTCACCATGAGAGCTTGGGGGTCCCCGTGGTGCCACCTCAGTGTGGCAGGACCGTGTGTGGAGCCAGCTGTGAACCCTCTGCTGCTCCTGCAGCACAGACCCAGCACCCATTTGCTCCTGAGCTTTGCAGTCCCTTGGGCACTGTCCGGATCCAGCCTTCTGAGACACAGTGGCATCACCAACATGACACACTCCAGGGCATTAAGGGGGATCCTGAGGGGAACCACAGGCACCCCAAGCCCTGTGTTAGGGTCTGACTCTGCCCTGCTCCCACCCCAGTGCATTGCACTGACACAATCAGTGCAGGGCCAGAAGTTGGGCTTCCATGATCCACGTGAGTCCCTTCCAGCTCAGGATATTCTGTGGTTCCATGACCACGGGAGGGATTGACCCCCCACCTCTCTGCCTGCTCCTGCCTCCCCTGTGCCACACAAAGCAGGACAGGCTGCAGGGCTCTGGCCATGGCAGACCCATTTAAGCACATTTGTTTCGTGCCAACGTGCATCCTCCCTGCCACGCTGTGCCCGTGGCCCTGCTTTTGGGGCACAGGCCTGGTGGGCACAACTCATCCTGCTGTGGTGCGTGCAGGGGGCTCACAGCACCCCAAGAGCTTTGTGCCACTGCAGAGAGGCAATGACAATGTGACAGCCACCATCCAGCCTTTCTCAGGGCCTCAGGGTGGCTCCGAGCAGGACTGCTGGCAAGTGGAAGGGAGAACCAAGACGTCTTTGACCCGGGAGCTGAAAAAAGTTCCTGATACACCCCTGTCCCACTGCCTTGCCCTGGGAGCAGACACCACAGGGGCCCTCAGCCCTCCTCAAACCACACCCGAAGTGCCTTTCTCCCCAGACTCCTCCACCAAGCCCTGAGGCTGCAGGTCAGAGGCCTGAAGCCGAGCTGAGGGGCTGAGGATGGAGCGGGTGCAGCACCCCCTTCACAGGGTGGGGCGAGCTCAGCCCCTCTGATCTGGGGACACATCCCTGCTTGGCTCCAAATCCCACAGATCCCGAGGCCAAGCAGCGCCTCCCCACCCCTACAGACACGTGAAGGGCTGTCCCCACATGCTCTTTGCTGGATTAAAGCACCCCTGGGGATGAGGATTGTGCCCAGTCCAGATCCTCCCCGGGCTGTCACAGCAGGCAGTGCTGAGATGGGAGCCCTGCCCTGCCCTGCCCTCCTGCTGCAGCCCCTGGCCCCGGGCAGTGGCACCGCTGCCACCCTCTGCAGGGTCCCCGCCCGTGTCACGGGGCCGGGGGTGTTCGGGGGTCTCGGTGCAGTCCCAAGGGCTCGGTGCAGTCCCAAGCCGGGCACATGAGGCTTCAGCACGCTGCAAGTGGGACAAGGAGCCGGCGGGAGCAGGAGAGCTGCTCTGTGCTCCCAGGGAAGAGCCCGCGGCCGGCA